GAGCTTAAGCTGACGTTTAATTTTACATAGGCTTGATTTCCTACTAAGCGACAGTGCCATGGGTACCCTTGCGTCACAGGGCAGATGTAAATTTCAAGTAAGGACTGGTAGGCTCGAGAAATTAAATACATGATTTAAAATTTTATACCACTCTATATCTCCTCCTAAAACTCGCCGGTAAAAGTTATAAATTCGACCATATTTTTTCCCTAAATTTCTAACAAATTGGCAGAGTGAATTCAAAACCAATGTATAGGATTTATGCCTTGGTAACATCTCAAATTTTTTTGTATAATTTATCACTTTCTGGCATAATCTACGACGGATAATAGGAGGAGACATAATTTAATTGTAGTCTCATTAGGTACTTATAGCAAAATTTTTTATGAGCATTGTATAGACCATAACACGCGCTAGAGATGTAGGATCTTACCTGTGCTTTTTAAAGTAAAGAAATTGTCATTTGGCTACACCAAAATCCATTTCACATTTAAGCTTCTCTCAATTGCAGGTACTTATGGTAAACCTAAAGTATTCACCAAATAATAGTTCTTTATTAAGATCGCGAAATAGAAGTGGCTTCCCCGAAAGCTCAAGAAGGATTGCCTTGGATTTTAGGCAAGATAGACAACTCGACCACTCTACTATGGTCCTGATGTTACCGTCCTTTTGGCTCTTGAAGTATATAAGCGAATCACTAGGTAAGTTGCACATCAGAACAACGTATAAGGCGAAAATTATAATTTCCACAGTAATGGGTTTGTCGGGAATTTTCGGACCATATTTTTAAATCTGGCTGTTATAAGGTATTGTGTTCATGTGGTAGCGTCTATGTGGAGGAGACCTACCGACCCATACATAAGAGGTTATCTGATCTTAAAACAGCCTGCAAAGGATTTTGGGTCTAAAAATTAGGACAGGCCAAGCACATAGCCCACACAGGACGCCAGATGGACTATTTAGATGTCAAACACTTAACTGGATATGGAGACTATATTAGAAAGGAGGCTGTGACAAAAATAGAGGACACAACATCTTGGTCTTCATATCTCTAATATGTATTATTTATTGACTTTAAAATCCTAGACGACTCGCCTTAATAAAACTGTTAATTAATCAGCGCAGATAATAGTAATAGTCAAATTATGGCTCTTTTCTACACAATTCGTTGTACTAACCAGGTTATTATTTGAAACTCTTACTAGGATGTCATTAAGCGGCGATAGCATCCGAAAGGCCAACATTCTGTGGTGTGATTTTCGATTAAATAAAGTTGTGCTTGATATAGCAATCGACTAGATTAGATACTTTTGTTTTATAAGCAAACAGTACCTTTTGAATTTCATGTCAAGTCCTCCGCTAAGCAAAAATGAGTTGTCGATCTTTGCACCATTTTGTCATTAAACAAGATAAACTTAGGCTCAGTTACCGCGGACCACCCTCCTTTGTGACCCTCTTGCTCTGGATGTTTAAAATAGTATCGCATATTCGATATATAAATATCACTAAACGGTGTTAAGGTATTTTTGAGAATAAAATATTAAGAAAATGAGCTGGATACATCCTAGGATACATTTCTCATCAAGTATAGGTACAAAACCCAGCCCGTTTTCACCCAAAACGATGGAGGATGTCTTATGTACATCTTCAAACTGAACGTCGTATTATAGCTAAACGGTTGCAGTGTAACGAGCATCTGCCGCAGATCGACTTTAGAATTTCTTCTTCATTCAATCACATATGAAATGCCAGTCTCTCTAACAATATCTAACTTTATAATGATTCTGATCGCCAATATTGCTGAGATAATAATCGCGAACTAAAATAAAGCTATTTAAATTTTATCTTTAAATATGACCCTCACATAAATACGCACACTAACTTAGACTAGGGAGAAGATAACTCTTATTCGAAAATTAGCATTAGCAAAAATTTAAATATTGATATTGCAAGGAATTCGTTAAATTACTAATTTTCAGTGCTTATGATAATCATTTTATATTGTTAGGGGGACTTTCATTTCGCATGAAAGTGCATGAAGAAGAGATTCGTTGGTCAATCTCAATAGATAAGGACGGATGAATCTCGTTATACTGCAGTAGTTTGGCTTTTATACGATATTCGTGTTGACGAAATCTACGAGACTTTCTTCCTTGATTAGGGTGAAAACTAGCTGAGCTTTCGTCCATCATATGATGGACATTATCAGAGTTGGGTTTCATTATTGTAAGAGTCTCAAGTTAACACTAGACCAAGAACACTATCCGGTTCTATCTTACTTCTTATATAGACTCAATTAAGCCAAAATAAAATTAAAAACCTATAGAGATCGATATAGAGTGGTTTTGTTAATTTTCTTTAACACTGGTCCTGCTATTTTTGCTCGATTATATGAGTATGTGTATTTGGGAGTGTTATTGTCTATATGGAATACGGATTTTAAATCAGAGTTGTCTTGAGGATCAGAACCTGAGATTAAAACTTTGACTACTCTGATTTAGAAACCGTATTGCATATAGACGCTAACACTTACAAATACGCATACTCATACAACTGAGCAAAAATAACAGGACCAGTATAAAATAAAATAAACCAAACCACTCTATATCAATCTCTATAGGTTTTTAATTTTCTTTTGGCTTAATTGAGTCCATATAAGAAGTAAGATAGAGCAAAATAGTTTTCTTGGCCTACTGTTACCGTGAGACTCTTACAAGAATGAAACTTAGCCCTGATGATGTCCATCATATGAAGGACGACAGCTCAGCACTTTTTCACCCGAAACGAGGGAGGACGTCTTGTGGACTGCGTCAAAATGAATATCGTATAGAAGCCAAACGGCTGCAGTACAACGAGATTTACCCGGCCTCATCTGGTGAAATCGACCAATGAATCTCTTTATTCACTTTCATGCGAACTGAAAGTCCCTCTAACAATAGTATCTTAAGAGATTGAGCGAAACCCAGTTTCTCTTCATATCTACAATCATTTTATATATTATTAATAGACACATAATTTGGAACTCTTTCGGATTCTAAATAACCTCTATACTTTTGGATATTTTCTTACCTATACTCTTTTTTTCTATTTGTCTTAATTTTCTGAAGATGCTAGCAGCAATGTCCCTAAATGCCATGAATATGTACACAAATATTTCGAGCAAAATCAAAAAAAGCATTATGTTTTAACAAGTAAAAAACATATGCGCAGAATTTATGCTATTTTATTTTGAAAAAATTTCTGACTATTAATGTTAAACCTGACTTCAAATTTATAGATAATGACCTTGAATTTATATAGGGTTTGAAAGGTTTAGGACCTCAATTCACAAGGCGGCATATGATGAATGCGGCTCTCGTCAACTGATAATATTGAAACCTACTCAATATCAATACAATGATCCACTCGCAAGCAGTAGGTTAGGTCCCATCGGCGTTTCCTAATTAAGCCGGACACATGACCGAAAGGAATGAGATGCAGTGTGGGTGAGGATGAGAAAGAGGATAACTGGGTGGTGGGTATGAAGCCCAGGCAGGGAAAGATGTCTATGCATGGGCATCACCTATTCTAAATTCCAAAAGTGATTTAAACTGTAACAGGAATTTCAGGGCTATGGGAAGCCAGATTTCAGACTGCCATCAAGTGAATATAATGTGCAGCAGCCACCAATTGACAGATGGGGTGTAAAAAGGGGAGCTAAATGAAGGTCAGAAGACCTGCAAGCTGTCAGTGGGACCAGTGGTGAGGATGACTATGACTCACTAAGTCAACATCCTTATGCGAAGGTGGAAAAAGTAAGAGCACAGAATCGTGTGAATAGGTAGATGGGCCATATGAAATGGGTTTGAGAGAATGAGATGCAGCACTAAAAAGTAGAACAAAAAATATAGGCAAATATTGATGGCATAACGATTGAACAGAAAATCGGTAAAGAGGATTTCATTCATATGTCACTTTGAACTAATTAAAAATAGCCCAAAGAATACTACATTTCTAAAAAATATATTATTCAAATACATAATATTAGTGAATAAAAATACTAAAATATTTCATAAGTATGTCTAATTTAATAAAATAATATTTTTTAGTATTATTCTGCTTGTGTTTACGCTTTTAAAAGTTTATAATCAAATTAATTAAATATGATGTATTTAGCTGAACTATTTTGAGTAGATGAAGGTGTTATATGATGGCCCGCCGCGATCTAGTTTTCTTAATTAATGGGCTAATATTTTTCAAACTGCTCCTTTTAGCTATTTATTTAAATGTGAATATATGTTGATATTATCACTATGAAACAAAAAAAATTATTTTGATGATGGATATGTTGAAAAAACTCTGATGGGTATATACTCTCTGCCGTTCATGGAGCATACACCTAAAGATCACTTTTGCTTGATCGGAATTCTTCTTATTCTCAACACAATTTCTAGTGAACATTGTAAGCAATTTTAATAAATATTTTAGACTTTATTTTGTCCGAAAAATCTTATTTATGTGACCAGTCTCATGCAGACAGAAGATTTCGTAGTATCGTCACGGATGATCTCACACTTTACCAACAAATTGTTATGACATGGCCCTATAAATTGAGCTCACCGACACTTTCTCGTTCTAATAAACAGGATCTTTATGTACATCCTCTTTATGTTTGCTCCGGACTAGTCATTCGTCCAAGTGGCAGATTCGTCGTTGCTCCTCACAATGGCGGAAATGTGTGTATACACAAAGTTAAACTTTTTTGCTTCAAATTTTTAAATTTGAATTAATTTCGTTGATATATTGATGTTGGTATAGTCTATATCGCCATAAAAAATCATATATGTAAATTTGGTGTCTGTCATCTAAATTAGCTTTGAATATTATATTGGGCCAGCGCAGCCGAATTAACAAATAAGCTTTTTTATTATTGATTTTGTGCAGCAGCACTTTTGCCTTTGTTTATATATATAATTAAGATCGTGAACATTTTATTGATTTAATTTTGAGTAAAGTTTCGTATCATCCGGTATTTTTAGGAATCATTTTACCTGAAAGTATTTTAGTTTGGCACATTGCTACTATGCAGTTTTTACGAGTTATTTTAATATCTCCTAATTAAAGAGCTTTATTCCAGGTTTTTTTATCTTTAAATGTTCTTGAGACTAATTTATGTAAATACTCAAATAACCCCGTAGATACTGTTCTGGCTGCTACACGCTAGAGCCCGTCTCCGTTGTCCTGACGATTGGTTACCTTCTCCAGACGATTACCATATTCGTGTGGAGCAGTGGTTTGCTCCCTCTCCCCTTCATTCAGGAGGGGTTGGAATTGCTTCCAATGTAGACGATGCTCCTATTCCCGGTGCTGTCACAGTGAGTGAGCATCTGAATGTTTCCAATTAAACTTTAATAATTACATTTTGTCATTGATATTATGTGTCTTTGTATATACACAACAATTAGGTAAGTACTAATCACTAGCTTGAAACAAATTTAGCCTAAACTTTGAAACTTTTCCCATAAATTGAGGCTTATATGCTGTGATGGCTAAATTTCATTTTACCTCCCATTTACAAGAAGATTTTGGCTATTACCATTAATAGTTCTTTTAATTTAAGATATGAAGTCCAAGATTTTTTGGCCTTCGGTATGGTCTCAGTCTCCTTTCGATTTATAGAAGTGTGTTAACCTCGTTGCAACATGGTCTTCTATCAGGGCGACTTAGTAGAACGCACCTAGTCCGAAGTCGTCTGCCATAGTAGTTATCATGATTCCCAGCATCAGAGAATGGACTTGATAAATTATCAAACTTTTCGCCAGCATCGTAGTCGCATTGACAAACAATGCACTGAATACAGTCGGACAAATCAATCTTTCCATCTGACTTTTTTAAACTGTTGTAAACATTATGGTATCACTCCTAAGTTCTGTGAACTTAAGATATTCCACCAGCCTTCTAGTCAGAAACTAAGTGCTACAGAACGAAATAAGCTGTTTAAGTTTATAGTTATTAAGTCAAAGCTCGGGCATGATCTGACCAGGATCCTGTCTCCGGAAGATTTTCAAAAACTCCAGGGCATGACTGACAGGAAATAACGCAGGATTTGTGATTCAATAACAAAACTGGATGACGATAAATTGCGTAAGTTTGGGATTATAAGACAGCCAATATCCCCAGTTAAAGTGGCTTCCGAGGTGACAACACCTACTGATCAGCACGAGGATAGGAAGAAATTAGTTAACTTATCATCAATTCTTCTCAATCCCGAAACAAATGCGTTCCTGAAAAAAGGACTTCATTTTTTAATTCAACATAGCAGAAGCCTTCTAGGAGACATCCTAGTGGAGGTTATCAATATCTTAATAAGTTCCCTGGGGAGACAAAACGGGAAATGGAGATGGAACTAATTTCAAATATCTTGACACATCAGGAGCCTACACACAGGAACAGATTTGCCGTGATATGCAAAACCCTAGAAACGAATGAACAATTAGTCCTTCAGGTGGACAAAGGAGGAGCTACAATGATAATGGACAAAAAACAATATAACGAGAAGATGGAGCATATTCTAGGAGACAGGACCACAGCGTATACTAAACAACGACCCAACTATGAAGATCAATGAAATCTTAAGTGATATGCTGAAAGATATGCATAGGAATGGGAGAATCGACGCATGGATAAGAAATTCAATCATAAGAAAAGATGCACGACCACCAACAGCATACGGATTACCGAAGATAAACAAAGAAGGCGAGCTACTTAGGCTGATAGTCAACAACAAGTATGGAGAAACACACAAATTACCAAAGTTTATAAGTTTTAAACTCAAGAAATTAAATGAGAGGCTACCAAACACGGTGAAACATTCATATGGATTTTCTCGAAAAATCAAAAACTGGAAGAAACGGATTTATTGGTAAGTTTCGATGTGGAATCGATGTATACAAATATCTTTGGAGAAAATGCGCTAGCGGCCATAGTGGAAATCCTGGACCGAGATGGAGATATCCTGGAATTACGACGGATCAGGAAGGAGTCGTTTCCACCCAACCTTGTATTTGTATGGGGTAAACCTTTGGTGACCCATATTATTTTTAGAGCATGCTCCATAGTAGTGCTTAATAAATGATAATAATTTGATATTTACCTATTTAAAAAGTGGTATATTCTTTGGTTGACCAGCAGCCTCTTACTAAAATATATATTTATTAATTTCAGTTTTTCCTATTATGAGTTAAACATGTTCTATACTGCTTTATCATCTCGCCAACTCTTTTCAGCCCGATGAGGTCACTTGGCTAAACTGCTCTCATCTACGTGGAAAAGATGCTGTGGTTGAATTTTCTGGTCGACTTCGTCGCCTTCGTTTCGTGTGGTCAATCTCTGCTGGTCTTGAAATGAACTCTTCCAGAGGCTTAGATGCCTCTTACGGAAGGCCGGTGGCGGTGAATGCATTACCGGATCAGTCCATGCTGCCGTATGGAATGGCGTTGCCGACTTTGAGGTCTGAAGCCTCCAACCTAAACCAGGAGAATGATCAAGACTCTACGAGACTTGAACCTGGCTGGGCCAGATCTGGAGTCGGGCTTGAGGCACGCGTGACCTCACGCATCCTTTTTGAGGGAAATTTTACATCCCTTGAAAGTAAGTCAAACGCATTCTCTCATAATTTTTCATATTTTCACAAACGTATATCAATTTATTTTATATATCTGTACTTATACAGTGGCGTTTATCATGACTTGTTCTCTGGCATTCCGAATGCCATACTTAGTTTAAAAGCTAGTCAAGATATGCCTTTTTTCTCCGAATTAATACTTGTTATATTTTATACTGCAAAATGCTGTAATATTGTATTAAAACTGATTAACACAGTGCTGAAAGCTAGTTATAAGCGGGAATCCATTCATAATTGGTTTATAATCAGGCATCAAGAAAGGTTGTATTTCATTAAGTAAGCTAAAAAATGAGGTAGAATATTTTGGACTCGCAGAAGATGCACGTGCCTTGATTTAAGTATGTCACTACGACAGCTTAAAGCTAATTTCCATAGTTTACCCAGGACCAAAACCTTATACCTTAAATTTTACCAATGCTGTTATATCGCATTATTTGGCTGCTCGCGAAAACTTATAACCTAGATTTTTTCTGGAATCCATTTGGCTTATGTATCCACACATTTAGAGCTAAGTTGCATGGATGTTATCCATATTGAACTTGAGTATCAATTTCTGGTATATGAAAAAGTCTAATCATATAATCTAGTTTTGACTGGCTTTATTGGCATTATAATGTAATTTTTCACAATGAACTCAAGAAAATGTTAGATTTTGCCTTAAATTTAATTTTTCCCAGTGAGACCCATTCTCATCTAAGTTGGACTGCAGCCATGATTTAGCTTAACCTCCTTGGCTGAATGAAATATCTTGATGACGAACTTTTTAATTGGCCAAATCCAGACAAATAATTCCCATAAGAGCTGTAGGATGAGGAAAGACTGATAGTTGAATTTTTTAACAATGATATGAACAGGTCTTAAGATGACATTGCATTTTCTTGGCGTTGCAAACCAAAAGCTATTCTTATCCAGATTTAGTTCTATTTTCTACCTCGCCTTAATCTCATCAGTACTACATGGAATCGAACTCAGGTACTGCAATGCATATTTTCGACATTTTACCATTACGCGATTAACTGCTGTTGATACCAATAAATAGGTGGGCAGACTTTCTAGGCAAATCAGGTGGACTGCTGTCTCGACCTCGTCCTAGGTCTAATCAACCTGGCCTTCTTTGAAATTCACATCTGCCCTGTGACCCAAGGGCACTCGTGGCAATATGGTATTGTGATAAAGTGTCGAGATTATATGCTGCAATGCTACGGTTCGAGTCCCGATGGCGGTGTTGACAAGACTTGGGCGAGGTCGAACCTGCAGTCCATTCGGGATGAGAATAACTTTTGTGAAAGCAAACTTCAATGAAAACGTCATGTCCACTCATTCTTTGTGGGAAAATTCAACTACCAGTCCACCTATCACCCTAAACGAAATATAATGAATTCACCTCATATAAACTTATATTTTACCTGGTTAGAGGGACTTTCATTTCGTATGAAAGTGCATGTAAGTCTTTTACAGGATTGAGACCCGGCTCTGATGATGTTCATCATAGTTCATCACTTGATTTACGAAAACTCAGCCAGTTTTCACACGAAACGAAGGAGGAAGTCTCGTAGACTGCGTCAACATGAATATCGTATAAAAACCAAACGGCTGCAGATCGACCAACGAATCTCTTCTTCATGC